ATAATACGACCTCATCCTAAAGCCAAATTAAGAAAAAAAAATACTTCAAAAAGACGTAAGGGAAAATCATGTATTTTAACTAATACACCTGAAATTAAAGTTATTTTAGATGCAAAATCTAATAACCAACAATTTAAAAAGTCCTCTTCAAGCAAAAGAAAAAAAAAAGACAAAACAGATTATTTTTAGTTAGTCTTACATGTGTTTAAATAATGAAAGCTCTTATGAAATTGATTTTGGAGTAAATATACTTGATGATGAAAGTGAAATTGTTTCTGGAAGTTTTTTAATTGTCAAATTGGTCGGAAAGAAATACTCTAGACTTTATGTTACAGAAGTTATAGAAGTTGTTGGTATAGTTTACAAAATTAAGTATCTTAAGAAATCAGGAGACTTTTGTAACAAATTTATAAGAGAAGATGACAATCGTTATGAAGTGGAACTTGAAGATATTATTATGAAAATTCCACCACCAAGTATTGGTGGTGGTTCATCTAAACGTCAGTATCTTATGTTTGATGTTGATCAGACTATTTGTAATAATTAATATATTATACTCTTTTATTATTGTTTTTTTTTGTTGTCATCATTAAAATATTTCCTTTAAAAAGCATTATGATCATATGTAAATGAATATAGACCGCCAGCTGATATAAGTTATAAAAATCTATTTTTGCTCTTTTCTTATCTTAAATAATAAAAATAACTATAGATATTAGAAAACATATTTTGTACAACTAAATCCCATTTAATGTTTTGGACCTTAACCATAAATATTTCATGTAAGTAGCATGTAACTGAAAAAATATGTGACATTATCTAAATAGTTATAATAACTGATTTTATTTAAAAAAATTAGTAACACTATTAGTAATACTGACTGAGTATCTTAACTTCGATAAACGAGTCTTGGCAATATTGTAAGGATTTTTTTAAACAATTAGGATTGGTTACAAAATAATAAGATTTGTTTTTTTATTGACAAAGGTAGGCCAGAAGTTGCTATATAACATATAACAAGCTAAAATATTAAAGAGGTTCAAACATTGCATGATTTTTTAGTAATAACAGTTTAGTCAAAGGTACAATGCGCATCGGTCAAAGGTACAACATATGTGTTGTACCATTGACCAAAAGACTTCTTTTTTTAAAACGCGGGAAGAAGATATTTCTTAGTCAAATGAAAAAAAAGTCCTAAGTATAATTTTTTGGCAAAATATGAAAGAATATTATATAGTTTAAATGGTTTAAGTTTACTCATAAGGCTACGCAAAAAACGCCTTAAAGCAAAAAGTGGTCAAAGGTACAACAGGTTCCCCTATATATATATATATATATATATATATATATATATATAATATATATATATATATATATATATATATATATATATATATATATATATATATATATATATTTTAAATTGTTTGTATGTATAGCTAATGACCCACCTCCTTATTATAATCAACTCAATCAACCTACGTACTTACATGAGGAGACTAAAAATGACACAACTGTTTTCTTTGGCAACGTAAGAGCTTAATTTTTATTTAGTTATATTTATTTTACTTAATTTTTAATAATTCTAAAATAAAGCAACATTTATTAACAGATTTATACTAATACAGCATATACTTCACAAAATTCTATAAATTCTATACCACCTACAAATGCTGGTAATCCATTAAGTTCTTCACAATGTCCGAGTGACCTTAAACCAGAACCAGCAGTTCAAATAATTACTGCAAATCCAGTTAACGTGTCCATATCACAAAGAGTACTACCTCGAGTAGTTCAACCATTACCTTCATCGTACGCTTTTATAGCTTGGCTTTCGTGTTTATGTTGCTTTTGGCCTCTTGGTCTTATAGCCGTATACTACTCAAATAAAGTAAGTAAAATTTTTTATAATTTTTTTAAAATTATAAAAAAGAATGAGCGATTAACATTTATTTTTCTTGTAAAAGAATGAGCGATTAACGTTTTTTTTCTTAAATAAACTATAAGTTTATTCAAGAAAAGTAAAAATTCAAAGCCCTAGTTTAATATAAAACACAAGTAATTGTTTCTTGAGTAAATAAATTTTTTTTAAGGTAAACTCTGCTATCAATCTAGGAGATCGAGAAAAAGCAATTTCAGCTTCTCACAAGACAAAAATATTTTCTATAACATCAATTGTAATTGGGTTAAACTCAATATGGATTATATATTTGATAAACAAGGAACTGACTCCAACAGTTACCTATACGACATATGGTCAAGGAACTTATTATAAGAATTAAAATAAAGTTTTTACAGTTTGTAACATGTCAATTCATTTTTTCATATAATGTTAATCATTTTGTATAATTGTTTAAATTATAATTATTATTATTTTTGATATATGATTAGAAAGTTTTTCCTAATATGACAACTCTAAATATACTTTTTATGTAATCAAATAAGTGTTTAACTAATTTCATTTAAAAATAAAGTTTATACTGAGTAAGTATTGATTTTATTGGTTACTTTTTTTTTACAGCTTACAGCGCTACCCCATACCCCTAAATGGGAAGGAGAGGGGATCTTGAGCCGCCCCTCTTCCTAGCAGGACCTCTATATGCGGCCACTTCAGGGCTTTATCGCTAAAAGTCTCCTCATGACATTTTTTTTTAGTTCGCATGTCTGTTTCAGTAAGGAGGCGCCAATTTTCAGCGTTGCCCTGGGCACCAAAAACCCTAGCTATGCCACTGTATGTAGAGACAATTTAAGTAAAAAAAAGTATTGGAATGGTAAATGAGAAATTTTTTTTTTGAATTAAAAAGCTATCTTTTTGACTAAAACTTTTGTGAAAAAATATATTCTTTTACTTTTTGCTAATTTCTGTTGGTAGTTAAAAATACAATTTGCTTGAAAAATTAGGCATTGAGGATCTGGATTTATGTGTAGTTCTTATAATGCCATCTCTGGAATTGAAGCCAGCTACTTTTTATGAAGCCTCTGCTACAAGCTTTACGCATCGTTCTACTGCTTGGGTGTGACATAGAAACTTTTCAAAGTTACACTCAGCCGTTGTTTCACTTGATTGAATCTTTGACCAAATATCTTTATCTGAGACTCTTTGCAGCAAATGTGGCGGCAAAAGTGTGGTAGTGATCCAGTCAATCATCTCGGTATAGTCGGTAGCAAGGAAATTATTTTTAAGTGATTGAAAACTCTTGATAAACTTTCTTTGAGAAGCTAGGTTTCTTGCCTTTATAATTCTTCTGAAACCCGACTCCCTAATATGAGCCCTTTTGTCTACTACCGTTGTTAAAAGCAAGTTTTCTGAATGTGCAAAATAAACGTTTCTCTTAATTACTGGGTCTATTACTTTAAGCAAATTATTGGGCAGGAATCTTGACAACTTTATCATTTCAAATACATGTTCTGCTCCATTTGTGAAGTATTTACTTTTTTTATATGAAACCATCCAGGGACATATGATTTTAAAAGAAAAGAAACTAAGATTCTGTGCTCCTCTGTTGGGGTTTCGAGGCTCAAATACAATCGTAAAACTCCTTGAGTGTGAAATTGCTCCAGATTCACGAACAGATAAATCTTCTGAACAACTGCCTGATTTAATAGCAGAACTTATATCCAAAAAGAACTGCTGATCTTTGTTTAAAATTTTGCAGTCAATTTCTCGAATTTCACAATGGACACTGACAAATTTTACCACTGTTAGTTTTTCACACTTATTAGGCTGTGCGTCAATTGGACCGCTAAATGATTTTAGGCCTGTCGTTTATCCGTCTAACGTTTAAAATAAATGCTGGACCGGCAATTCGTTGAAGTGTAAGAGACAAATCCCCCACTGCAGTGATCGGTTTACATATTTTTTAATTGTGGCAATAACACCGGATTTCTATCTCGTGTTAGTAACAGTGCCATTGCATCCGATTAAGTACAGTTCATGAAACGAAAATTCAGCTTTATTCAAATATGAAATAATGCTACTGGCAATGTTTTAAGCAGACCCAGAAGTTGGTGAAACATGACCAACGTACACGGAACCTGGTTCTTGTAAAATTGAGTAATGTTCCTCTTTATGGTTCGTTGAAATCGTTTTGATTTAGTTTTTTCAACTACTAGGGTTTTGTCTTTCCTCCCATCAAAATACAGTCCTTAAAGTGGGTTATATTTCTCCTTGCTCTGTATTTGAAATTGTGAACGGTTAGCCACTTTTGCTCTTCTAATTTTATATTTGTCAACAACAAGACTGGAATCATAATTGGTTACGATACCAAAATCTTGCAAAACACTTGTTGCTCTGTCTGATAATCCATAGCGATCGCTTGTCAGAGCAGTATTTTTCATTGTAATGCGCACCTGCCATGATGGCTTAGTTAGCTTAAAATCTACTAATTCTTTATCGATGACTTCTGTAATGGCTAGGGAGGCATCACTATCGAACTCTTTTTGCCTTAGTGTTTCATCTAAATGGTTTGAGCATGAATGTTGCGATAAAAGATTATTAGTAGGCATAGGTCTTTTAAGTTCAGCAAATTTCCTATCGTGTCTTTGTGTAACTTTTTTTGTTTCTTTTACGTCAATACTTCCGATTTTACCAATACCATGCATTCTTTGGAAGTACACAAATTTTAGTTTAATGATGGGGATTTTTTTTCTTTTTCACACATACAAATAATTGAAACAGAACACTCGCATTCACAAATTTCAGTAACCATTTTACATTTGCAGTCTAATGTTATTTTACACTTACACGCCGAGACATCAAACAATAACAATGATTTTGTTTTAAAATCTTCAACTCTCTTTTTGAACTTTCCTTTTTCTTTATCACGCTTGAAAGATTTCATAAGGTTGCGATAACTGTCATGGTATCCAATTATTAATTAAACAACTCTGTAAATTGTTATTGAGGGTATTGAAGCTTTATCAAACACTGATTTAACTTGTTGTGCGACACAATTTGAAGGATAAGAAAACATAAGAAAACTGGTTGGTTGTTTGATTTCAAGGTTAGTTTGTAATTTTCATTAAAACAACACTTGAGAATTTCTTCATAAGTTGGAAGTTTATTTTCCGATAATTCTATTGGATGACCAAAAATCGGGCACTTAAATTAGCTACGAGTAATTTTTTAAAAACATGATGTACAAAAAAATCAAGGGAGCAGATTACTTAATGTTTAATTCAAATATTTGCCAGACTATATAGACTTTATTGGCCCACAGTTGATCTTGTGTAGTTTTTTATGAGCCTAAGTTTACTGAAACTACTTTCACACGTAGCATCTTTGACTGGTATGTTGAGGAAGATGCGAATAGCAGTTGCTGTGTTATGATCAGTCAATGAATATTTATAAATGAGTGAATAAATAAAAATTTGTTTAAAATTTTCATCATTACAACAGTTTGATATTTGAAACTTGAAAATTCTGACTGAAAATAAGAGCAATCTAAACTTCTGTCTCGTAAACCTAAGAGAAATTTTTGGCTTTTGTTCATCTACTGAACTATGAAAGTGTGAATGCCCACAGAGGAAATCAAAATTAGTGGATACAGCAGATATAGTCCTCAACCGCCACTTAATTTATGTAAAAATGCTGTCAAATACAAGATTGCACTGGGATAACAATTCTGTTTTTTTAGTGAGGAGGTGAAAGTTGTCTTCAGCCTCATAAAATGCCATCCTCTTTAGTTCGGGCTTTCTTTTGATTAAAAAACAACATTCAATTATATTCTGATTGGTTGTTTTTACAGAAATTCTGATTGGCTGTTTTTACAGAAATTCTGATTGGTTGTTTTTACGTAGAGAAATTCTTAGAATTAGTGTTTTTCAGTCACAAAATCCTATAAAAATATCTGAGAAATTGTTGGTTTTCGTTGTTGGAACAACAAAGAGCAAAAACAAATAATGAATCTTTTTTATTATTGTACAGCAACCAATATTAAACAAATTTAATCATCATTGTAACTGATTTTTTCATACGAATTTTTGTTAAAGTGTTGCACTCTGTTGTGAAAATCACGAAGCGTGTTCGTAAAACATACTCTTTTTTTTTGCTCTAGCCCATTTTAAATCAAAGAACATCTTATTTTGTCTATTACTTTATGCCATGATGCTAAATCTCTAGGTTTTTCTTTGAGATTGGTGTAAAATCAGATATTTCTTAACAAAGAACATTTTAATCCAGCCGTGATAATGTGGTAGCGCACTTGCCTCAGAAAAGTAAGATCCGTTGTTCAAACCCCACCTCTGGCCAAGCTTTGCAACATTCGGTTGAGAAGGAGACGTAAACTTCCTATTAAATGCTTTTCCGCGGTGCTCTGTGATAAGAACAAAAGAGTCTTCTTAGGGCATCTAAAAATAAAAAAAAATTAAAAAAAATAATATAATTTAACTCGGTCAGAAAGGCCGAAATTTTTATTTTCTCCTGTTGTTTGTAAATCATTTGTGCAAAACTCTTTTTAAATTTGGCTGATCTTCTCTTTAATTAATTCCAAATGATGATCTGAACTTAAGTCATTAATTTGACCTGTTTAAAAAACTTTATCCGTTAAATTGACATTAAATTCAACGCAAATATCATCTTAAAGAATTTATTTTTCCACTGCAAAGTTGTTAACCAACCACCCCCACCCCCCATTTTGTAGTTTCTCATAACTTTCTAGACACCGTTTTCTTTTTTTCATAAATTCAATTTTAATGTTTACAATTTATTATGTTTCAACTAAGTTTTGGAAACTAATGATTCGTTTATTTCAATCTAAATGATAATGTGTTTTTTATTTCTTATTTTAAATGATTTTGTAAAAATATTTTAACGTTTTTGTCTGATGATGGGACTGTATATATAGTCTCGAAGTATAAAAAAAATAAATAAAATTAGTATTGAATGTTCCCCATTTAGAGAAGATAATTTTATAAAAATGAATCAACTTTGTTTTTGCTAAAAGGCACTCTTTTTTCAGTAAATAAGCTTTTATAAGTTGAAGTTTATATAAGGAGGAACAACTTTAATTATTTTTTTATCAACATTAAAGAGACGCCATAAAAACTTGTTTTCAAGTAATAAATATTTTGGGTGGGATGTTAAATTGGATGTCTAATCCAATATAACATCCCACCCAATGGGATGTTAAATTGGATGTCTATATCCAATAGCGAGAAACAATCATTTTTATAATTATTAAAACTTTTGAGCAAATTAACCGATTTCTTCAGAGTAACTTAAAAAATAAGGAAGATTCAGGTACACTCAAAATTAAACATTCTTACTTAGCCACTTCTATTTGGTATAACTATCATTCGTCTAAAGAAACAATAAAAAAAACATGGAATATTAAAAAATATACGAAATAACACAGACATTAAAAATATTAAAACAAGACAAAGAAAATAGTATTGTCATTCTAGATAGAAAAACATACGAAGAAGGAATATACAAAATAATAAACGATTAAACTAAGTTTAAATTACTCAATAAAAATTTTACTGTTAGTAGAGAAACGC